GGCTTGTCAGCTTTTTGATATTTTAAAATATTGAAAGGAAACTATTGCAAGGGACTTTAGAACTGCTGTGTCCTTCACAGCTGAGAGAGGTGATGAACAATGAGCACATCCTCACGTTCTCTGCCACCATGTAGTACTGTTCCATCACGACTCATAGGAGAGTCTCAGTATCCACAGACAGCACCTCAGCAAGTTCTACATATAGCTTTTGGGACCTGTAAATCTTCTCCAGCAGAGAGTGATACATCAATCAACACTTGCCTTCAGTTCATCCCTTTCCAATGACAAGATGCAAGAACCAAAATTCTACCAACACAATGACTTTTTTGGGAAACTCGTGAGAAATGGTCTGTCAAGGAACCCCCAGTGACTTGCCAGGGAGCCCCAAAGAACTGCAGGGGTCTGTCATGAAACCCCAGTAATTTGTTAGTGAGTCAGGATAGCCCAACTGGCCTATCACCCAGTTATCAAAAGTCCGTACAACAGTTTCAAGCACATAATTTGCTCTGCAAGTCTACAACTTACTGCATGCTCTGAATGCCGTGCTGAATACCCCTATGGTCGCTAGAATTTGGAGCCAATGGAGAATTGCATGCTGACGGGCATAATTGTCTACCAGCTGGAATTAAGGGCCTCAATTGGTGTTGCTGACAGTGGTAACAGATAGGATTTGGCCATTGCCTGGGGTGGACCGTGTTCATTGTGATAGGCACTAATTATACAATGATGTCTGTGGTACCAAATTCCCGGCGCACTCTGTCAGGAATCATGATAATAACCCTGAATCATAACCCCCTAATATTAAAATATTTCCACAGGGCCTTTTATCCTATTTGAATCCTAGTCATTTATTGATGTATAGATTTTCAACTTTTTTTTGTTAGAACCTTGTTTTTTTTGTCATATAGAAATTAAGTTTGTGTGCAGTAACAGGCTAATAAGTCAGTAGCTTCTGTTGCTTGTTAAAGTCAAGCATGTGTCTTTGTTTCATGTTGCTAATGATGTGGAACCATGGAGGCCCAAGTATATTTCGCTTGGACGATGTGGGAGCGAATACTGAGAGCTCATTACTTGGCTCCCCATTGGAATCCTGCAGGAGTCTGCTCATTGAAAAGACTGTGGGGGCTTTGACAGAATTATTATACTGAATATTTTTAGACTCATTAAGTATATTACCAAAGCAAAACATCTTTTCTCTAACATGCAGATTTGCTGAAGCTATGACAATTTTGCTTTAGTTATTGTGGTAAAATGAGGCTGTGCTTGAAAACCACATCAAAAAACATTTTTATGCTTACATTTTTAATTTATAACCAATATTTCACCATATTTTAATTTAAACACATAATTCCTGCTCATGATACCAGGACTTCTTTAATTATTTAGTTGTTCTGTATTGTGCCTACATAACCACATTTAAAGACAGGTGACACAGATACAACAAATAGCTGTTTATATGCAATAATTCTCCCTATTTACATGCTTGGTACTTTCTATCATATCTGTTTGAACATAATTAATTAATAATGTCTCCCTATTGTTAGGACAGATGTACTATCCAGGATAAGAATTTTTGCACTATAGGAGAAAGGCTCTTTTGTGATTAAGCTAATTTACATGTACAAATGTTTTCCATTTTATAGAATTGATATGTTATTCCTAATAATGACACACTTGAGAAATGTAACAAGAGACCTTGGGTAGTTCTTCTTCCTCCTGAAGGCAATGTACTAAAGACTGACAAATCTCCCACTCTAGGAAAAGCTGGAATGTCAATGTTAGTCAAGGGTACAATTCAGATTTACATCTCCTTATTGATAATCTATGTAATGTCATTAAAGGGCCACCAAAAGCTGCCTACATTCTTGTACACTGCCCAAAAGCACCTTTATCTGGGTTTAATTCCATGTTGCTGGAAGCAAAGCAATTTACTTCCAGCAATGGAGCTGAATAGAATGACAATCCTGTTTTATACTTCCCACTCCTAATTACATTAGTTTATTATTATTATTAATAATAATAATCTTTGCATTTTATATTGATAGCACCTCATTACATTGAACTGTCTCAAAACATTTCTTACAGTTTTTCTGTAAAGTGTAGTGACTGCATTTTTGTAGGCAAATGCAGAAGCGAATTTGCAGGCAACAAATGTTCTGCAAATAGCCGTTAAGTAAATGGTAATGGAATCCCAACCTACTCTGTTGCAATAGGAGCAGAGAAAGAGATAAAGTAAACATACAAAATCAGAGAGCGAAATAAATACAATGTTCGACAGACTCAGAGAGAGAGAGAGAGAGGAGAGAGAGGGATAGCAGTAGAGGCTAAAGGTTGGGACATGAGACATGATTTGATTTTTAGCCATTTTTCTTATTGAAGGTAGGAGACGCTATTGCCACAAGCTGGTCTCAGCAGCAGGGTTTCAACCTGATTCGCTCCTAAATCACCCTGCTTAGAGCCAATTACGCTGCACTTTTTGCGGTGATTTATCACGAATAGTGCAGCACAGACAGAGCACTATTAGAAAATTAAGCTGAGAAAAGTATTTCCATAAATGAGCCTTTGGGGTTGATAAAGTGACAACGAAACCACAGCTTCTATGGCGTGAGTGCCTGAACAAGTGCTTTAGAAGATATAACAATGTATCTCATGCAGGTAACCTACCTATTTCACACTGACTTATGTTGAGAACTCAATTATGTGGCAATCTCAGTTGGAGCAGAGTTCCATGAGTCACATACATAGGGTTCACAGAGGCAAACTTTGCAAATCAGCATGCTTTTTCTGGTGTTCATGTCACTTACTCTGGGTTTTCCTCTTGGGACATTTCTTCAAACCCAATGACTTTTTAGCACAAAAGCATACTGGGGGTAACATTAAGATGTACTCTTCTAAAAGTATCTAAACTGTATAGACTTCGTAGTTTCCAAATTTGTATGAATCCTACTATAATGTTGTAATTTGATTTCTATAATAACTAAAAGAAAAAACGTGTAAGACCTAAATTTCAGCCTGGTTTCCTATAGTTACTTTATTTCATTAGTAACTGTTCTATAATGCCAGAAGGATTTGTGGTTCTTCATTATACAATTCTGTTAGTGAGGCCATGATCAGATTGCTTCAAAGTTCAACCTAATGGACACATACAAACAAGTAACAGACAAGTGTAGTGCTACTCAAAGAACTTTCATGTCCTCCAGCTGCTGGGGCAATGTAACATACTGGTTAGTCAGCTGAAAATAGATCTAAACAAAAAAAAACAAATTTCACACACATCTGATCAAAGCCCCATCTTAGACTCATGCGGAATTTTAAGCTGCAGTCACACAGCATGAGCCAAGTGCTTTGCAACTATGCTAAATAGTCACTCCTTTAAATCTCACAACGTGGTGTAAAAACTTACTTTTTATGTTCAACGGCTAGTTATTTGTGCTGTTCCGATTTTTGCATCAGGAGTAAAAATCTTATTTTACTGTAATAAATAGAATTATAGCCAGTGGTATTTTTATAGGGTGTTTTTTTTAATCTTGCTGGTGCATTTGTAATGGAGAAGTGATGATGCACTAGCTCGTTTTGATACTCAGCTGCCGGTTCTGTGGTCCGCAGGCTTAGCCATGCAGCAGATGTCAAAACGACACCATCACACTAGAAATGGCCTTGCTTGTTTCACACATCACACTAATGTCTGAAAAATGCCAGTGGGAATGACACGTAGAACAAAGGAACCCAAACCTTTTTTATTGCAATTATTTTTATACCCTGACACAATCATGGTGGTTTATTCAGTAAATTTACTGATCTAGACAGTGTGGATTTTTCCTCTATGAAGATTATTCTTCAGTTGCACGATATATACTGATCTTGATGGCAAGTGTGTATTATATCCCGCTTGACTGTAAATTTACCAATGAGCAGCGGCTAGCACCTGAGAGTCTGTTTTCTTTTCATTTACATTATAGTCCATGTTTAATTTTGTTGTCAGTCACTGTGCTTCTATACATGGGCTTGTGAGATGCTATCTTGTCTATTTTTTTTCTTAGAGTTACAGATGGCCAGCGCTCATTTGATGGCCAATAAAATGATGACAGAAATCTATGTACGGGAACATTCTTGCAACAATGAATAGTTTTACCTAGTTTAATTTAGCTAAAGCTTAAACCAGCTTGCTTTTTGTGACCATTTTATTTTTTAAAACTATTGTTTGTGGTTTATGTATTTCAAATAACTTTCCTAAATCCATGAGATGGAATAACTGTGATTAGGATTCCAACAAGTCATACAATCTCTGTTCTATTTTGCCATATCACATCCAATTTATTTTAGGGGTTGTTTTGCATATTTAAGGTTATTCCCTGGTTTTACTCTCGGTGAGACAAGGCAGACGGATGGTTTTTGTTTTTAATATTGTAGTTGAGTGGATGGATGGATGATGGATTTTGTCTGGAAATTTCTTGCGTGTTATTGTTCTCCTACAGCAGCTGAAGGCTGCTTAATGCTCTTTAGTTTTTTCATGCTCTGAAGCACATGCTGCTAGGCCATGATAAGCTTTACAGGAATAAAAGCAACAGACACGTCCATCAAAGTTTTTTAATTTTATATCTTAAAGTTTGGGTGGGGCAAAGATATGCAGTTTGCGTAGCATCAAAGGCTTCTTTTCTTTAAACAAAAGGGTGAAATAAATCCCGAAGCTGTCTTCATGGAACCGAGTGGAACAGAAACGTTTTACTCATCAGCTTTGCAGTCACTGGTTTGCCTCAGCTAGAACAAAACTGCTGAAGCATTTAGAGAAAATTAACCCCCCATCCTAGCAGCCAGATGTGACTGGATTCTGATGAATGCACATGAGTGGGTTGCAAAATCAAGAGTCTGTGAAATTCCTGTCAGGCCTATACAGTAGAGAATGGGCTATTGACTGCTTTCTGTATTTCCCTCCATCATTCTTTTTGAACACTGCCATTAATTTCCCCTCCTACTCTGACTTTTTTTTCTTATCCTTTCAGCTCTCTTTACTGGAAAGCTGGATGCAGAAGGCAGTAGTGGAGCACTTCAAACGACGGGGCCTTTACAACCAGTCAGTGCTGGCTAAATTACTGTCTGTCTCTCAGGAGAACGCTAAGAAAATAATAACTGTGCAGGTACGTTTTAAAGGGGTTAGGGAGGGATAATGGGATTAAGACTGAAAAGAAAATAATTGGAACTGGATGCCTGGTATTAAAATTCAAGCACATTATGCTATAATTGAAATTTCATACATAGGGGTTATTACAGAAAAAGCTGCAAGAAAACTATCAGTGCTGTACAAATAATATTACTATTTCCCCTTTCAAATAATGCGACTACAAGCAGATATTCTTGTTATAATATATTACTTGTTTCCATTTCTTTTATCCCAAGGTTTAGCAAATCTTTTTGATTTTTCTTATTGCATATTTTAACTTAGGAAATAGGTTTGCCACTTACATTACAAAACGATCTTAAATGCTAACTTGTATAACTAGTGTATCTCCTATTTATGGTCACGGAGTACATAATCTGAAGGCATTGCTCACCTTTCCATTTGTGCCACACAGATTATTCCACTAAACTGTAGATTTAAACTCTTGTAACTCGGTGTCACAAATAAGGCACAATTACTGTGATTTGGTTTCAGGCACAAATTTGTGCTTAATTCACAAACTACAGTTGTAATTCTTACTTGTTCTGAATCATTGTATGTTCATTTTTTTGGATTTTTGCAGCAGCATATTTAAGGTAGCCTATATTTCTGAACCAGATAGAATTTTATTGTGATTATATTCATTACACAATGCATTTCATTCCATGCTCATTTTAGTGATTATGGGTGTCTCATTACAGAGAGGATAATGATGGCATATGTAATAGAGTATAGAGGTGTTTCTTCCATAACTAAATTTTAGAACTATTTTGAAACAAGGAAGGGGCAGTCTTTCGGGCCTAATAGCTTTCTGCCTTCCTAAAGTTTTTGTGTTATAATTAATGTGAATATCTGATTATAATGAGTATTTTGAAAAACAGTTTAACATAAACTTTATATAATATATCTATTTGTGTATATGGGATTGCAAAACTAACCATATTAAATATCAATATTATATAAGAAACAAGTAACAATTGGAAAAATCTCTTCAAAACTGCATTGGCAGTCCCTATGATCACAGCACAGTAGACAGTTGGGTTGACTGGCCTGTGGTGCTGCTCGAATGTCCTTTGCATTGCCCATCTGTTCAATTCCGAGTTTAACCAGCAGGAGATCTTTGCAAGCATCTAGCTGCGCTTACAAAGGCTTTGCAGATCCCTCAAGCAACATCATCCAGAGTTTAAAAAAAAGTGTAGCATACATTTAGTAAGATATACATTTTTTGCAGAATTTGCCCTGCGTCACCCACATTTCAAGATTTAGTCTCAGTGACAGAAAAAAAGATAAATATTTTAATGAACAGCAACAATTTGCATTTTTACAGCACCCTTCATGCAGGCAGGCTAGCATCTCGGAGCGCTGTTAGGTGACCTTCAATGAATTGTTGAAAGGGTCAAGTAACATAATATAATAATCTTTACATTTGTTAGAGTGCATATCACTTCATCAAGTTGTTTCATATAATAGGAGAGTTTTTAGTGAACAAGGTATAACAAAATCCATTCTTTTGCTATAGTTCATCATGAAAGTAAAAGCAAATCAATAATATTGGAGGGCAGAATTAATACAAATTAATTTGGTCAGATGGGGTTCTCCCACATGCAGAAACTCATCACCATGCTTAAGAGTATCCAAACCAAACAAAGGGTTCCATGCATCCCACCTATACGTGGAAATACCAGAGATACTTTTTGGAATGGAACGCACACTCTCTCTCTGGAGGGACGCATTCTGGTTACCAGAAAGAATTAGGCACAGGTTGGCAAAAGCCACGATTTGTGGATCCCAGAGTGTGCGTTGGGGGTACTGCTGGAGTCTAACCAGCTAAAACAGCATAGCTTGCCATTGAGAGTACTATCTGGCAAACATTCCAGCTGCTTGTCCAACTAGGACCACCCTACCCATTAGGGCTTTGGCTTACAGGGTTAACAGGAGCTGAGTGGGATGACTCCCTGGCCCCAGAGACTGGTCTGCGCTTCCAAGTCCTGCCAATGACCCAGGCTGGGCTGTGCTGTCATTAGCAGTGCCCTGGAAAGCTACAGACCCGCCTGGCTCAGGAACTGGACTACCAAGACCCCCACAGAGGACTGGCTCGATTCTGACATTCTGTTGCCAAACATGTCACCTTAGATCCACTTCATCTCCAAGGAGACCTTTAACTTACCTGCCTCCCAGAAAGGATAGTCACAATTACAAAGTAATTAAATCTAAATTTCCCCCAAAATACTATTTTTTAAAAAAAATTCCTGAAAGGAGAATTTCTCCATTTGACACGATAAAAGCAGTCTCTTGCAGTAATGCCATATCAGGTCTCCAGGAAAAAATAATGCCTCAGGTGTTATATCTGACACATCTTAGCAAGCAGCTACCTGTGAACTTCCCTTGTACTGGATGTTGGAGCTGGTATTTAAATACAGCTCAAACCCTCTATCAGCTGGTACTCAATAATAAGTACTTGATATTGAGTCATGTGTAGGATTTTTTGGGGGTAGGGAAGAGGATTCTCTTCAAATCTCCAGAATATAGAGTGATATTCGTAAACTGCAATTTTTGATGTCTTATTAACATTTGTTCAGTGAATTGTCTTTACAACATACCAATCCATGGAGTAGTCAGGTGCAGTTTGTCCTTTTGTTTCCTTCATACTAAGTTATTGTTTTGGGCTGGGTTCTCAGGTAGTGTTGTGAATAGATCCTAGGTTCTGCGCTACAAGCAGAGAGGTGGATTTAGGCAGTTGACTGGGCTGCTCTTAATAATAATGATCATTATTATTTGGTTATAGCGCCTATGACGTCATGAGGATGTCTCAAAGCGCTTCACAGGATTTACTGTAAATTGCAGTGATTGTGTAGTAAATTGCAGTGATTGTGTAGTTTTCCAGACACACTCAGCACACAGCAATGTCGCACATTTCCTATCAGTGTGTGCATCAGACTGAGCTTGTGGGTGATCTCCTGTCAGCATCTTCAACAAGAAAATCAGGCCGAGGTTAATAAAAGAAAGGAAAAGCATTTTAGTTATTCTGTTTACTAAGCTAGTGCATATTGTTCTTGCAATTTGTGGTCTATTACTGGAACAATAAGTATGCATAGAAGAATGGTATTCTCATAGTGACAAAAATATATTATAATTCCCAAAGATAGTTACAATTCCATAGCTATTTGCAGCCCTTTGGTATCCTTACAAAACAACCTGAGCAATGCATTGTGAGTAGGCTATTTAACCTGAACTTCTCATTGCTCAGAGTCTATGCACACAAATTGCCAGCAAGGCCAGCTGGGTAGTGATAAGGAGCAAAAACCCTGGCCAGTTTTCTGCTCTCTGGCCCAGGGATGCGAAAGCCAGTTGTAATGCCCCATTGGCACACTGGCAGAGATTAGTCAGCAGCCTAAATCAGGGAAAGAACCCTAGCACACAGCATGTTTGCCTACTACACCATCAGGGAAGCTCAGAATAGCAGTTTTTAAACTGCATACAGATAACACCAACACGTTAATGAACAGGTTGAATCGCTGTTGCCTGATGTCATTAGCCCAATAACTTTGCAAGTTGTTAACCTTACGACTCAGACTCCTTGGGTTTGCTCCTGACTCCGAATTCCAGGCTAGCAAACATCCTGAAAAGACTGCTTTTCAAATATGTAAATCTGCATTGCTGTTTGGGTCAACATTGACATAAGAAACCTGTTGACTATCAAAACTTTATAAAACATTTTCCCTGCTAAAGGGCAGCTATCATAAAACACCTAGTGCATTGTTTTACCTTTTGGTAAAGTAACTTATTGCAGGATCACAACCAATGCAGCATTTTTTAGAAATTTGAACATAAAGAGCAAAGTTTGACTACTGGACCACATCACACTGCAGTAATACCAGCCTCACAGAATAGTCATTCCCTAGGCTCATGTCACAGCTGCTGCTTCCAGTTCCAGCCTGTACTTTCCCACTCCCCAGTCTAAACACAAGCACCAGCTCAGTTGTCTTTCACTCCAGCGGCAATCAGAATTAAAAATTGTTAGTCATCTTGAAAGCAGAAATATTCTTTTGAAAAAAATTGAAATGGAATCAGTAACAAAAACTATTATTAGTTCCTCTTTTAAAATATACATTTCTTTCCCTCTTTATATTCCTTTTACACCATCAACAGTGCCTGGCTGCAAAAACTGATTTGAGGTTCCTGTCAATGCCACTGTGTAACCAGCCTCTAGGAGGTGAATAGAGTAGTCTGGGTGTCTCTCCCTTCATAAAATAACACAAGCGCCTACTCATGCCAGCCAAGATTTGCTATAGTGGCAGAAAACCATGCATCAGTGTATAGCGGTATGCAATATAAGGCAGGTTCATTTGTGAGAGTTTTTTTTAAAATCATTTTACGTCACCATCTATTGTGATCTTTTGTAACTCACTGGTGGCACCTGATGAACCAGATTCCCTTTCTCAATGTCAAAAATGTGAGAACAATCTATGATAAAACAGCTCAACCATATCAAAATTGATTCTTTTTATTAAAAACCAAAACAAATTGCTGCCCAATCCAACCCTAATCTATCTAGATGTATTTTTTAACACTTTAAATTTGCTGGATTGTCAGGAAATGATCTTAAAAAAGTGTATGAAATTTATCATTGGAAAGCACTCAGGTGATAACTGCAAATGCTGCATTTCCAGAATTAACTAAAAGCATAGAGTCACATTCCTTTGTTCAGCCTCCATGTGCTGCAGGCAGAAGTGGATGCATACACCTAGCACTGTATCAAACAGAGCAGTAGGAAGGGCAATGAAAGATCAATGCAGAATTCTTCTTTCTCCTTTACATAAATTGTGATTTCCTTTTTTTTACAATTAAACAATAATCTTTGCAAATAAAATGCAAATAATTATGAATATAAAGTTACATTTCAGTGACTAAGCAAAGCTGAAAGTGGGTGCATGCTTGGCTCAATCCTTAAAGGGAATACTTCAGATAAGAAATTGCTTC